CCGGGCCCCGGGGAAGGGCCCAGGCGCCCGGGGCTTTGGCGACGCCGGGCGCGCGTGTACAGTGAGCGCTGCGCCCCGAGGCCCGGGCGCGGGCCGGGCTCTCACCCTGCGGCCACCCCGCTTTCCTAGTTTTTATGTGGCGTGGTCCGAACGTCTCCTGCAGTTTGCCAGGGTCCGTGAAATTAGAGGCGTCTTGTCAGAGGAGTCGCGTTCATTGGCTCGGGACGCAGATGCCACGGAGGGATTATAACTTCTCCCGACGAAGGGACCTGGCTGGGGGAGCGGGTTTTCTCTCGTTTCCAAGCCTTGTGGTTCGGGGTGGTTGTGGGGCCGGACCCCGCTCCCCGTTTCAGCATCGTTCAGCGGGATTTGGAAGGAGATGGTGTGCGTGCTTGTTTTAATTTCGCGCCGCACGGCAGCCAGAACTTTCTTTTAGGAGCGCTTAAAAGATGTTTCTTTCTTTGTAGACGTTATTCGGAACAGCTTGGAGCTATTAGGGAATTTTCCGACCGAGTCCCTTGGCAGAGTGGTGGCGAAACTGGAGAGCGAGTGGAGTTGTCATCTCTCCCCTAGGTGGGGTGGCGGCGTCTCCCCTCCCCGCCGCCTCTCCGCGCCCCTGCCTTGGCGGCGAGGGGTTTGCGCTTTGGGTGAGTGTGCGTGTGTGTGCGTGTGTGGGGGGGTGTTGTTCGGAGACGGTGTCTCCCCCTCGCCCCCGCACTCCCGAGCGGTCGGTCGCTCCTGAATCCTACCGGGGGCGCTGGGGGAAGGTGCGGGTCCCCGGCCCTTCGCGCCCGGGCGCAGGGACCCGCGTGTGTTTTGGTTTCGCAGCGGTTCCACGTGGAGCACCGCCGTGTGCGTGTGTGTTGTGTACTTGATCTGTGAGGAGGTAACAGGAGTCTCGTGTTCAAACCCAGTGGGCTGTTGGCCATTAATTTGCTTTCCTGGCTGTCATTACAGACACTTCCAAAATCTGATACCTAAGAGAACCAGCAGGTTGGGTTTCACATTAAGAGCTCATACTTAACAGTTTTCTTTCTCCCTTACCCCTTTTGGCTGGGCACCCTGGCACCCACGTAACTGATGGAGCGAAACGTACCTTCTCGAATATGGCATTTTGTTGTCGCAGCCGCTTTTTGCACCCTCGGGGCGCTCGTCCGTTTCGGCGCGGGGCTCCTGCGGGATTTAGGTGGGGAGCCCCAGGGGCGGTTTAACCGCCGCGGGCTCCGCTCAGCAGCTTCTGAAGTTTCCTTTCCGCGTAGGTGACTGACAGTGTTGCAGGTTGACCGTGTTTTTTTTCTTTGTTGCGTTGTCTTTGTTATTTTTTAAAAGCTGTTCAGGACAAGGATAGGTACCCTTTTCCTTCCGGGCGGAACTTCCTAAGCAGAAACATTGTTTTGGTGGGGTGTTTTTTTTTTTCCTTTTAAAATGTTTCTGGCCAGCTTGTAGTCCAACCACCAAAAACTAGGAAGGGGGGCTGGGGGAGAGCCCTAAAACAGAATACTTGGGACGTGGTATATGGTGCTCTTAGGAGACTGCATTCAAAGGCATTTGTGTATTTTTAAGGATAACAGTATCTCAAGAAATAAGCAGCGGTAGTAACAGGAGACAAAGTGTTTTGTGTGGGGCCAGACTGGCAGAGTCTGTAATTTTTATCGCAACAATACCAAACGCAGATATAACTACATCCAATTTTATTGTTACTATAAACCATAAAAATAGTTTGTTCCACCTGATTAAAAGTTGTAAGTCATTCAGAGTTAAACCAATTTTTAGAAATGACTGTGCAAGATAGTAAAAACCTTTGACAGTTACAGCTTTAAAAGTAACATAATTAGATTATCCGGAAACTGTTCCTTTTTTTCTGATTGTTAAGGGCTGTAAGCCTTGTCTTTCATAACAAGTGAAGGTTTAAAATCAATGTGGTTTTTAAATGCCTGTTTTCCTTTGTCAATTTCCTGTAAATAGTATGCTTTAACATTTAAGGCCATCATAATTAGAGGTGGTTTCACAAACAACTGAAATTAAAATTGATTATTTTTGTTAGTATTTATTTTATTGGATATTAAAAACTTAATTTCTCCTTTACAAAATGAAAAGTTTATATTTATTAAATAATATGTTCCATTTAAAAAAATTTTAAAAACCCCAAGGTTTTTATAAAACAGTGGCTCAAGAACAATATTATTCTTATTAAAAAGCACTGACAGTGAATTCTAGAGTATTTGTAGAAGCTAGTTGAAAAAAATTGTCTGCATAAAAGTTTCTTTTTTGAGGGAAGAGACTGGCAAATGAGTAGTTTGTCATTTTGCTAAAATTTTTTTCTTTTAAAAAAACCTCTTTGAGTTAAAAGAAAAAGAAAAACAAGTTCTCCATTTCTAAGTGTTTCCTTTTTATTTATATTGTGATTTGGGGTGTAAATAAATTTTACATAGCCACGGGAAATAGAGTGTCCAGTTTCATGTTTTCAACCTCTGTTGCAAGCTCTAAATGACTGATGCCATATCTAAAAATATATTTGTGTGGCTTGGTATTTCATTTTTAAAAATTTTATGCACTGAATTGAATTATCTAGAATTTTTAGAAAGGTAGAATGGTAGAAAAAACATAACCATTGTTATGAAAAGTTAGGGGGTTGGAAAGTTCACATTCTAACTCTCAAATAATAAAATTAAACTTATTTCACCCAATGGAACTTCTTATGCAGAGTTTAAGAAGAGGGGAGATAATCCTTTTCAAGACTTAGTGAAGTGTTAAGTAATTCAAGAGTGCAGGTATTTATGTTTTTTCATTATCTTTTTTCCTCTTCTGTTAGGTAAATGCAGGAGCACTGAACATTCAGTAAAAACAGGCCCCCCTTTATAAGGAGTTTATTCACCATAGTTCTGTATTGCAGCTGCTGATCATATTTCATGGAGCTGTTAAAGCACTTAAAACCTAAAATTAGGTACTGTCTGGTTGTAAATATTTCAGATCACTCATTTAAGAAACAAACAGAAAAGCGTGCTATCAAAGGTGGAAGACGGTTGGAATCCTCTCATTGCAGAGCTAAACAAACCTCTATCAAACGCCTCGTTATTTTCTCACTAAGAATACAATCGTGACAGTTTCTTTAACCAATGGATATTATTCTTACATATTCTAAACTCTTATAATGTGTCTCCCTGTAGAGTATCTTAAACTAACTGTATTCAGAAATACAGTTGGGGGATTTTATTACAGCGGTTACTAGGTGAATGAAATCAACACCAAGGAGGAATGGCACGAGGCTGCATGCAGTGTACCTGCTGCTCTCATGGATTTCTCCCGGTGAACTAAGAAATAACACGCTCCTTTAGGCATTTGTTCTAGAAATGGGTGAGATGCAACGTGTATTTGATTGCAGCGCGTGTAATACTGCATCTTGCAGTTAGGTGTGTTTTAATGTGGGGAGCACTGAATATTCATTAAATTGTACGCGGAGCCAAACCTGGTGTCATGTAGCTTGAACTCCAGTTCAAGAAGGAGATAAACAAGAACCACATATTCAGAAGCAGACCAAGCAGCTTGGGTTGCTTTTGAGTTTGAAGGCTTTGGAAATGTTACTGTCACCTGACAGTGCTTGTGGCACCGCACATTACTGTAAGGCTCCGTGACATACCATTTTACTCTTGAAAGCCTGTGGTTCTTACCATGTCCCCATCCATGTTTTTACTAGTACAGAGGTACCGAAAATGAATACCACTAGTCTTACTTCCCTACCTCCTTTCCCTCTTTCAGAAAAAGAGATGAAACAGGTTAATTTAAAAATAGAAACCATTTTAAGTTATCAAAACCACATTTATAGGGTGGTTTAAAACAGTTTCAGAGAGCCTACCTCTGAGTCTCACCATAACCTTTTCTGTCATTGAAAGGTGCTAATTGATCTTAGGGCACTGACATAATAGTACAGTTTGATATTTGAAACCTTTCAGCATTGCTCTGGCCCTCTCCTCACCCTGAGATTGCAGTGCATGGCTGATGAAGAATAGCACCATATTAAAATGCTAGGAATTCTAAATTTGTCCCCATACGAAGCATTTTAATACAACATAGTCACATTTTAAAGCTTTTATTTATGTACAGTGTTAGATACATTTTAATGTATTTCTGGGCCATGAGAAAAATACCTATTTTCATGTTAGGATTTTTTTAATATTACTTTTTCATAGGTACATTTAAAAAATTTTTTTTTCAGATTGAAATTTTTAGGTAAACTCTAAATTGCTATGATCACGTAATACTTTCAAAGTGAAGTTTTATTAAACCAATATAGAATAGCCATCTTGAAATTTCATATCTGAAGTATATTTTCTTACATATATTTATATCTTAAAGCATATTTTAAAATAAAAACTGCCAGTTTGGTTTTTGTATAATTGTAATTTTTCTGTCTGTTTAATCATCATTGTCATCATCAATCACTAGCATCATCATAACATCATAGCATCCTAACATCATATACTTAGGATTTACTTTATGCAAAACACTTTAAAGTATTTATGTGGATTAGCTAACTTTAATCTTCTCAACTATGCCGAAAATTAGGTAGTTTAATTATTCCCATTTTACAGATGAGGAAACTGAGACCCAGGCATGCAGTGAAGTGCAGCCAGGATCACAACTCTGCAGTCTGACCCCAGATCCCTTATCCTTAAGCAGTGTGCTGGGCAGTTGCTCCCACCAGTCAGAATGAGTTCATTTTAGGTGGCATTCAAACAAACATTTTACTTATTAGTTATGTATTTATTTCTAAGGACATTAGAAAAATGTGTTTAATTTTAAGCCTATACTTTCCTGGATAATATTGTTTAAGACAAGGCCAAAAAAAGCATTAAAGTAAAAATAATTTTTAAAAAGCACCTATTTAAAGAAACATATTAAATAACAGTGAACAAGTGCTTGGCTGAAATAGCCAAAATCATAAAGATTGGTGGCAAATGACTAATTTGGAGAAACTGTTACTCTGGAATGCTTTCCAAATGTCAAGAACTTACTACTAAATCTTTTTAATATTTAACTTACATGTAGAATTTTCCTCAGCTTTTCAAGCCTTATCCATTGCTTAGAAGTTAGTTTTTTGGTTTGCTTGTTTTAAGCCTAAATGCTGGTTATGATTCTCAAATCTACCCATTTATGTTGAACCAGTTAAAAGGATTGCATTATTAATTACTAGAGGCAAGTTTAGATTATAATAGGGTCATTCATATTTTGGAAATATTTTCAACTTACATGGATATCAGACTTTGTATTTTTAAGGTTTTCTCTAGGTGAACACTTTTGTATCGCTGCTATTAATCCGTTTTATAACTTTGTCTTTTTTCACTGAAGCAGTGGTTTTCATTTTTTACTTATTTAACCACAGGCCCTTTTATTCAAGTGAAAACTGACTCTGTGCCCACTAGAGAAATATCCACTGTTCTGGAAATATCCACTGCTTAGGACGTGGTGGCCTGCGAATCACTCACCAAGTCTGCCTTCTGGTCATTGCCGCCTCCCACAGACTCTGTGAGGGTCTTTTTCAGTGTGTGAAAATCACTGGAAAAATGAACAAATCTTTTGATGAAAGTGGCCAGATCACAGTACCTGCTCCAGTATGTTAGTGTGTCATCCACTAAAACAAAACGAAAGG